GGGACAGACATAGTGGGACGAGAAAAATGAAGACTAAAGGAGCGATAAAGGAAAGGAATATTTGTGAAACACTCTTTAAGAGTCTGGGGGGCAACACAGCAACTGCCAATAAGGAAAACCCTAGCGGTTGAATAAGGATCTAAGAAAAGGGGAATACGAGACAGAGATCGACCCCTGTTCCTGAAGTAGCAGAATCAAAAGATCCAAAAATGCAACAATCACCTCAGATTTAAGGGGTCCAGGATGAAGAAGCACGAAAAAAGACAAGAAACGTACCTAATCTTTTGAAACGAAGAACGAAGAAGCAAACCTCGCTAAGCCTTCAGGTCAAATTAGAGGAACTCGTCTCTCTGTAAAAGCCCTAAGAATAGTAGCGAATTGGGAAAAATGAAGTCGCAAAGAAGACAGGGAAAGCCAAAGAGAATTCAAAGAGTGAGGAGAGAACCGTTGGTCCAGGGGCATTTAAAGCTAACGATACAAAGTGGAGAACGTGCACGAAAAACTAGAAAGTAAAATGATTACCTGAAATCGTCAAAAACTTGTTCGCGTGCAAATCAAGGTCTGCATCTGGAGGTCTGCCTTAATTAAGCCTCAACTCAGCCCCTACTCAAGTTCACTTGGGCTAAGGGTTGGGGGGCAACTGATAATACTCAGAATAATTTTCAAATATGAGCTCAGGAGCGGAGGATAGACAATCAGGTTTGACCAAGAAATCAGGGAAAACACATAAAGCTCAGAAGATCAGAGCTAGAGCTCTCCCCAGACGTGATAGCATCAGAAATGATAGGGGAACAGCTGGATGACAACAACAATCTTGCAGGTGGCAAAGAGCTATATTCAAGGAACAAAATTCTTAACCAACCAATATCCTCTCCTAAGATCAAGGAGAGTTCATCGGATAAATGACAAGGATCTCGGTGCAGATCCCATAGAACTAGGGACATCCCTATATATATTATGTAACGCCCCCAAGAGTGAGGGGGTAAGATACAATAGGTCTTGTAAACCTTTCGAATGATGAATAAAGAAAAAATGAGTAAAAGTCTCCATTAAAGAGTGGATTAGCCGAGCTCCCGAGCTGGTGAACCACTATACTTTTTCATTGTGTCAATCCNCAAAAGTCTCCATTAAAGAGTGAATTAGCCGAGCTCCCGAGCTGGTGAACCACTATACTTTTTCATTGTGTCAATCCCTCAATTCCTCTTCAAGACCGATCCTTGCTCTTTCAAGCATTATAGCTTAGATTCTAATAGTCACATACTGTTCATCTCAATTTTTCAATATAACAGAGTTGTACTACATTGATTTACACCATCACTAAAAAACAATCAACCAAAAAATGGGAACAACTATGAGAAAAGCTCAAGGAATATGAAGACAAATTACACGAAAAATTATCTAATAAAGTGGATGGCTCATGTTGACTTCTCCTGCATCTACTTCATCCACGATGCCAATTCTTGGCTGTCCCATTAAACAAAAAACCATACAAATTTATGCATAAAAATACATGATAAGAATAACCAAATGTCTCAAGCCCA